TCGGGTCTACCCGCCCGATCTGCCCGTCTGGTTCTGCCACGTGTGTTCTGATCCTAGCCCCCCTTCTGCTACTCTCTCTCGTGCTCCATCCTCCTCCCTCCCCTTTGTCCCTTCCTTCCATCCGTCATCTCTTCCTCTGCCTTATGGGCTGCACGGGATACACGTTGCAGGTAAGAAAGATATACCCCAAGGGGTACGATGAAATACGAAGAGGCGGGTACCGAGGGTGTGGGATATACTTGCATAGTGGTACGCGAGCAGATATGAGCGAACAGTCTTAAAATGATTGTAGTCGTCGTCGTCGTCGTCGTCGTCGTCGTCGTCGTCGTCGTCGTCGTCGTCGTCGTCGTCGTCGTAGGAGTAGGAGTAGTAGTAGTAGTAGTAGTAGTAGTAGTAGTAGTAGTAGTAGTAGTAGTAGTAGTTCTTGTTGTGGTTCGGAACAGCCTGCACGTCAGCCCTCGCTTGTTGGCGTAACGTAAGACCGTTTAATTTTTTTATTTACGACTGCTCAATGTTATGATCGGCGTCGTTTTGGTGAGGAAGTCTTGCGCCAGAGCTCCACCAGCTCATGCATAACGTGGGAAGTTTGCAACCCTGCCCCACTCCGTGGCTTTCGTCGTCGTTGCGACATGGCCGAACTTGACCCCCCTTGAGGGACAGCGCGCCCCCACGGGGCCATGATGTGGGGGATGTTGGCGCCGGGGCGGGGGCACGGCGCTCCCGCCCCCCCCCAGGGAAGGTGCTGGCACGCGCTGCGCGGCTTCATGCGCTGCTCGGCGCGATCGAGATGGGTACGGAGAGAATCGATGCCAAGACCGACAGCAGCTCCTCGAGACGGGGGTCGATGCGCACCGGGGTCGGCCAGAGCGCCGGATCTTGCGGGTTCCTGCAGGGTCGGGGTTGCGCTGGCCCGGGCTCGCGCGCAGGATGTTGCAAGGCGTGACTGGCCCGGGTTTGCGTTGACCCGGGTCCGTAGATCCCCGAGATTGCAGCTGGGATCGGCTTGGGTACAGAGAGAATAGGCACGAAGACCGACAAAATATCCTGTTCATTTGAACCATGCTCGCTGTCCGTGTCGCCGCGGACGTTGTCCGTTTGAGACAGGAGGCCGCCTGCCAGACAGCGGCCGCTGTCGGTTTTGGACAACATTTGTTGTCGGGTATCGTGCCCATTTTTCCGCACCCGTTTCGGGCGTCCAAGCTTGTGGCGGTGTCAAACCTACCCCCCCACGGGGCGGGGATGATGCCGGCGCTCGTGGTGCGCCCCCCGCAGTTTTGATTTTGTAACCGCATCTTTCAACGGCTCGACGTGCTGCTTCCATTGACCGGACCTCTCATATGGGAATTCACTGCGTCTCCCATTGCAGCACATTGCGCTACATGACCCATTCCAGGGCCGAACAGCGGATCCGTATAGGAATCTAAGGATTCGCATCTGATCCTGACCTTCCATGATCTGAGCCCTAAGGATTTCCATTTGATTCTGAACGGATTTGCAACGAATGCCGAAGGATTCCCATGGATCCCAGAAGGACTCCCATAGGATACGGAAATATTCACATGTGACTCTTGAAGCTTCACACAGGTTCCGTCGGAATTCCATTAAGTTAGTATTCGTAAGGACTCCCTTCGCTTTCTGAAGTGTTTCGATCGGATCCGTAAGGGTTCTCATCGGGTTCTTAAGGGTACCCATCGCATTCCTCAGGATTCCCCAGGCTCCCCGCGGACTCCTATGGTTTCCGAAATATTCCCAAGGATTCATAATGATCCCGAAAGGGATTTATCGTTCCCAGAGACTCCTCAGGATTCTTAAGGGTTTCCGAGGTTTCAGGAGGATCCGTAGGGACTCCTGAAGACCCCCGGGGATTCTTCAGGGTTCTTATGGTTCCATGAGGACTCCCCATGTTTCCCCATGGGCTCTGAATGAGTCCTGCGGATTCCCGTAGAATTCCCAAGGATCCTTGAGCACACACCGTATTTCCAAGTATTCACTACGATGTAAAAAAGGATTCCCCGTGGATTTCGAAGTATTCCTCAGGATCCCCGAGGGTTCTCGAGGATTCCTGAGGATCGCTGAGGATCCTTGAGGATCCTGCAGGGTGCCCTCGGACGCCCTCGGGTGATTCCTGAGGATCCCCAACGTGCCCGAAGGATGGCTAAACGCGTCAGGAATCCGATGGCATCTCGTCCTTAGGATTCCGACGGGTTTCCTTTGGATTCTCAAGGTTTCCTGGAGTTTCTCAAGGCTTCCTACCATACGGATTTCCTAGTAACCTTACGGTTTCTCAGGATTCCTCAGGATTCGTGCGAATTCAAAGAATTCCGCATTCTTGAGTATTCCGCAGGGATTTTCTGGATTCCCATGCGATTCTTCAGGATTGTTCATGGTTCCTGATGATGATTTGCGATTCCCGTGGGTCCCTGAGGGAATTCCTACGGGTTCCAGATGATATTTTAAACATATGAATTTGTGGTTATTGAGGATTCTTGAGGATTCCTGAGGATCCCTGGGGACTTGTCAGGATTCTGAAGGAATCCTTCGGATTCCGGAGGTCTCCTACATAAGGATTTGTTCGAATTCGTAAGGGTTCTCGAGGATTCCCAAAAGGATTCCTTTGGATTGCGGATGATTCCTGAGGACCCTTTGGGGTTCCTGAGGGTCCCTAGGCAGTCCCAAGGATTCCTAAGGATTCTCGAGGAGCCCCACATCAGTTGGTAAGAAGCAGTGTGGGTTCCTCCAGCTTTCGCTGCAGGGAGCCCGCACGAAGGATCTGCTTCGGTACTGGACCCCCCTGGCGCGCGCGGGGCCCAGCGCCGATCCAAAGAGAGTCCGCGAGGACCCCCGACAGTTTTGCCCTGCAGCCCGTTGTCCTTCGCATTCTTCGTCTAGATTCTAGATGCCCCTCCCTCGGAGCCCAGACCTCGCGAGGGCGCGGGCACGGATCCCACCGCCGCCAGTGAGCTCCCGCCCGCCTCCTTGCCCTGCAGCCGCCGCGTTTTTTTTTTTTTTTTTTTTTTGTTTTCTCCCCCCGAGCCTCGGCCAACGGCCACGTCGCATTCTTGGGGTCAGGAGGAGGAGGAGGACGAGAAGAGGACGAGAAGAGGAGGAGGAGGAGGAGGAGGAGGAGGAGGAGGAGGAGGAGGAGGAGGAGGAGGAGGAGGACGAGAAGAGGGAGGAGGGAGGAGGACGGAGGGGGGAGAATTGCGTGCACGGTGGAGTTCTCGTCGTCGGGTAAGGATCTCGACCTTCCACCAGCCTTCGCGACGCCTGGTGGCTCCCGAGAGGTCATACCAACTCGGGCCTCCCTTGGCGGCCGCTCGGGGCGATCCGGGGCCCCCTGGGGAAGAAGCCTCCGGCGAGGCGCCGAGGCCGGAGAGCACCCCGAGGCGAGCAAGAAGACCCAAGAGCCAGCGACGGCTTCCTTCGGTGGCAAGGCATGGGCGCCCTGTGTACATAGGGTGGGCCACGTGCGAAGCCTATCCCTGCCCTCCACGGTTTCTGAGGGGGAGGGTGGGGTTCACTTCGTTCGGGCCCTGATGCAGTGGAAGCCCAGGCCGAGAAACACCCTGCCTGCCTCCAGGGTGCCCTGGGTTTCTTGGGTTTCGATGGTTTTGCCATGGAAAAGCGTGACGTGCCCACACCAGAAACCAATGGACGTCCTGGGGTCTCAGGGTTGGGTTTCTGGTGGAAGGTTTCTTGTAGCCGACCTCCTACTGTACCCTCGCAATTCCATCTTTTAGAATGCTCTAGCGTCGATCAGCGTCCGGTGATCGATGAGATGGCGCCGACTTGGCGTCGACTAGCGCCGACTCAGCGTCGATTCGCGTCGATCAGCGTCGATTCGCAAGAGCCAGCATGGTGGTATGGGAGGCTCCCATGAGTTGCCAATTGCCAATTGACCTTTTGTGAAGCGCCAGCGGCCACCACCCACCAGATTACCCACCCAACCGGAAGGCTCCAGTTAGCCCTGCATTCCCAGCGGGGGGGGGCGTCGTGGAACATTGAAAAAACACATGCGGAACCCGTACACCCCCCCAACCCGACATTTGGGTATTCGAGTTCATGCGGCAATGGCGCACCAGCGACGTCAGCAAAGGCGTTTAAGATTTAATTCCGAAGCACTGAGGGGCAATGTAATGCCACAGGATCCGCCAGAATTCAAATTTGAGCGATCGGGGCGCGATCGGTTCAAGGCTGAACGATCGACGCGGTGTCAGAAACCTTTGCGCCAGCCGATGCCGTGCGAACCTACCGTAGTCACCAACGGGCACGCTCGAAAATCTCTAGCCCCGCTTCCGGGCCCCTTCCTCGGTACACGGGCGCCCTCCCGGCGCCAGGAGGTGCCAGCAAAACCAGCTACCGTACCCTCTGCTATTCTACCCTTTCGCCCCCCCGATAATCACCAACGGGCACGCCCGAAAATCTCCGCCCCTGCCAGCTCTTCTGCAGTCGCAGTCGCACTACAGCCGCTGTGCATATGGTCTCAATTAGGCCCGGACTGTCCGCAGACGTGGTTCGTTCGTCCGTTCGTCGTTTTCATGTAAGAGTGACCTTTTGCTGGAGTGACCCTTGGTGCGGGCCCACCGGGGTCCCCGTGTGATAATTGCGTCTGGCGCGCTTGGGTTTAGCCCCCCCGCGGCTCCCCCACAGCCGCGCACCAAAGGTCACTCCTGCCTGGGGTCACTCTTGCCGGGCCCGTCGTGTTTCCGACGCACATGGCACCGCGAAAGCGGCCAGGAGCGGCCATGCCACACCGTTTTCATTCACTTCTATTCCGGCCTGGGTCAGGGGCCGCGGCTCGCAGGTCCGGAGTTGTACAGCATCATCTCTGAGAGAGCCGTGGAGAGACACTGAGAGAGAAAAAAAAATGGCCGAGCTCGCCCCTGCCAGCCCTTCTGCACCTGCCCGCGGCTTGGCCGCCTCGGCGCGCTCCTGGCGGCCGCTCCCTGCGAGCGGCGGCGCCGCCGTCTCCCTCCGCCCGAGCGCCCCCCCCCGCGGAGGCGAGGGCGCGCCGTCTGCACGAGTTCCCCTGCAGCGAGGAGGCCAGGCTCCTGTCCCGACTCCTCCCCCGCCTCCTCCTCCCCCGCCTCCCCCGGCTCCCCCGCCTCCTTTTCCTCCTCCTCCTCCTCCTCCTCCTCCTCCTGCTCCTCCTCCTCCTCCTTCTCCTCTCTCCTGCTCCTCCTCCTCCTCCTCCTCCTACGAAACATCGGGGGTCGAGGCGTGGTCACGGGGGGACCCAAGACAAAGCTTCATTAAAACAGAGCTCGAACAAAATTCCCGAGGGTAACAGGCAGCCCACCACAGGTGCCGACACCTCAGATAATGGGACATCGTGTCAACTCCATTCTCACAGCCGAATTTACAGGGAGCCGCACGGGTGCTCGTGACATGCATTCTGGCCACTGTAGGCCACGCTCCACACATGACTTTAATCGCCGCCCACCTCACCCCCCTCCCTTTATTTCGGAGGACGCTCTTCAGCGCCTCCCATCTCTGCGCCAACACTCGGGTGGCGGGCGCACGGACCTGCCACGCACAAAGCCTCTTCCTGAAGGTGACGGGAAAGGAATCGAGGAAGAGGAGGGACGACAGGATGGAGCGGAGGGTGGATTGGAGGGAGAACCGCTTTTTCCTCCGCTCACGATGGGCCTGAGCCAGCCAGGCCGCCTCCGCTGCCAGCGTCCGCCTCTTCGCGGACCGCAGGCAGGCTTCCACTCGATGACGGTTCCTGGGCCTGCTGGTCGGGGTCCGGCACTCCAAGGCGTCCCTGAGGTGACGCGCGGGCCCGCGGCGGTCTCGCCACCACGCCGGCGCGAAGAGGCCCGTCGGCAAGTCCGCCAACCTGATCAGCGCCTCGCCCTGCACATCCATGAAGAAGCTCTCGACGCCCTCGAGGAGGTCGAGCCAGTCCCTCGGCAGCTTGATCGCCGCCCTCATCCTCGCAGCCGTCGCCGAGGCGAAGAGGGAGAGCGGCGCCGTGACGCCCAGGGAGGTGCCCAGCGACAAGAGGCAGTCCTTCCTGAACGACTTCGGCGGCACGCGCAGCAGCACGTGCAGCAAGTCCAGCTCCTTGTCCACGAGCGTGTCGGGGATCGGGAACAGCATGGCCACGTAGAGCAGGCACGGGATCGCCAGCCCGTTGTACGCCTGGACCACCGCGTCGTTGGAGAGGGCACTAGCGCCCAGCGCCCGCGTCCTCGCCGCGTACTTGGCCGCAGGGTCGTGCCACTGTCTGGCGAGGTCGGCACCTGGCCCCAGCCAGCAGCCCAAGTACTTCGTCATGGAGGCGACCGAGAAGCCCGACCAGCCCGCGGCGCTCGCCTCGAGCACGCTCTTCACGAAGACCACGAGCGCCTCCGTGATCGGCGCCCAGAGCGGTACCAGGTAGCACTTGGACAGGTTGAGCTCCAGGCACGCCAGCGTCTGCATCGCCAGGAAGATCGGGCCGATCAGCGTCAGCAGGGCCAGGTCGCGGAGCACCATCCCCACGTCGTCCGCGCAGCCCTCCACGTCGCCCTTGCGCTGCACGATGGGCTGCTCGGGTTTCCAGGACTCCCACCGCCACGGCATGTCCAGGACGTAGGCCATGTGCTCCAGGAAGGGCGAGAAGAGCAATGCCCAGAGCGAGCCCGACATCGGGCATCCTTGCGCCACTCCCGCCGTGACCGTGAAGGCCTCCAGCAGGTCCTCGCCCACCCTCAGCCATGCCACCTGCTTGTCGTACATGGCGGCGATCAGGGTCCTCACGGACTCGCAGAGGCCGCACTTGTCCAGGACCAGCGTCATCCAGAGGCGGCTGACGCTGGGGAACGCCGCCTTCACGTCGAACGTGATCAGCGCGGGATGCCCGCCCTTCGTCTCGCTGAGCGCGCTGAAGGTGCGCGCCGTCAGGTCCAGCTTGATGATGTTCGGGATGAACGTCCTGCCGCGTACGAACCCATGCTGGACCGCCGAGGCCTCCTTCCTCGCCACCACGGCGAGTTCGTGGTTGACCACGGTCGCGATCAGCTTCCTGTCCGTGTTGAGCAGCATGAGCGGCCTTAGCGTTCCAGGCCGTCGCACCACCTCCGAAGCGCTGAACGCCTCCCCTTGAGGCTTAGCCTGACGCACCAGTTGCACGCAATCATTTCGGCGCATCCTGGTTCCGGGCCACAGCACTTACTTCGTTGCCTGGAAGCCGCACGTGCACGCACGGGTTGGTAGGCGACTCTTCCTCTGGAGCGACGTTCGCTCCTCCTCCTCCTCCTCCTCCTCCTCCTCCTCCTCCTCCTACCTCCTGTCTCCACCTTCTCCTTCTCCTGTCTCCTTCCTCTCCTCCTCCTTCTCCTCCTCCTCCTCCTCCTCTCCCTCTCCCCCGCCTCCTCCTCCTCCTTCTTCCTCCTTCTCCTCCCCTTTCTCCTCCTCTCCTCCTCCTCCTTCTCCTCTTCCTTCTTCTCTCTCCTTTCTCCTCTCCTCCTCTTCCTCCTCCTCCTCCTCTTCCTCCTTCTCTCTCCTTCTCTCCCCTCCTCTTCTCTCCCCTCTCTCCTCCTCCTCCTTCTCCCTCTCCTCCTCTCTCCTTCTCCTCTCCTCCTCCTCCTCTCCCCGCCTCCCCCTCTCCTTTCCTCCTCCTTTTCCTCCTCTTCACTCCTTTTCTCTCACTCCTTCTTCTCCTTCTTCTCCTCCTCCCTCCTCCTCCTCCTCCTCCTTCACCTCCTCCACCTCCTCCTCCTCCTCCTCCTCCTCCCCCGCCTCCATTCCTTTTCCTTTTAGACAATTCCTCCCTGTCACACCCCGATGCCGGTCGAAAGGGCAGGCCGGCGTTTCGCCTGAGGCTTTCTTACCATGTGTGGCCCTGAAGCTTAGAACTTGACAACGGTTTCACATATGGAGGGCGGATGGTTTTGAACATGTGGCTCCGCTTAGGGGCGCACGCAGTCGATGAAAACGAATGGCAAGAGTTTCACGGATTGAGGGCGAGTGGCTTTCAAAATGTCGCTCTCGCTTAGCGCCGCGCACAGTCGATTTACAAAACATTGCAAGAGTTTCGCGGATTGAGGGCCGGTGGTTTTCAGAATGTGGCTCTCGCCTTAGTGCCGCTCACATTTGTGGTTTCACGGATTGAGGGTTGAGGGCGGGTGGTTTTCAAAATACGGTTCTCGCTTTAGCGCCGCGTGCATTCGTCTTAACAATTTGTAAGCGTTTCACAGATTGAGATCGGTTCTCTTTAGACGTGTGGCTCTCGCCTTAGCGCCGTGCACATTCTTTCCAAGAGTTCGAAGACGTTTCATTCATTCTCATGGTCAACATGCCAGCACGCAACAGTTACGTTGATTCGCTGTGTTGAAGTCCTCGGAGTGGTGTTCTGGCACGATTCAGGATCGCGAAGACTTCACAATCAGCTGAACTCCTGAGAGTGGTGTTTGGGCACGCTTCAAGACTTTGGTATTGTCGTCCCTCCAACGGGGCAATTCCTCCAGTGGAAATGAACCCTTGCAGGGGCCTGTGAACAGGGAGCTTGGAGGGAGGATGCATTCGAACATCGCTGATGAGTTTTAGGTTTGCACTGGTCCTCCTCCTCCTTCTTCTCCTTCTCCTCCTCCTCCTCCTCCTCCTCTTCCCCCGCCTCCTCCCCCGCCTCCTCCTCCTCCTCCTCCGTCTTCACCTCCTCCACCTCCTCCTCCACCGTCTCCATTCTTCTTCCTTTTAGATAACTCCTCCCTGTCGCACTCCGAGGCCGGTCGAAAGGGCGGACCGGGCGTTTCGCTTGAGACTCCCTCACCATGTATGACATTGGCGCTTAGAAATTGACAGAAGTTTCACGGATGGAGGGCGGGTGGTTTTCAAAATGTGGTTCTCGCTTGGCGCCCAGCGCAGTCATTTTACCAACATTTGCAAGAGTTTCGCAAATTGAGGGCGGGTGGTCTTCAAATGGTGGCTCTCGCCTTAGCACCGTGCACATTCGTTTTTAATAACTTGCAAGAGCTTCACGGATTGATGGCGGCTGGTTTTCAACATGTGGTTCTTGCTATAGCGTCGCGCGCAGTCGTTCTAATCATTCAAACATTTGCATGAGTTTCACGGATTCCCATGGTCAACGTACCAGACATTGTGCTTTGAAAGGACTCAGGATTTCGAGGGCGCAACAGTTACGACGATTCGCGGTGTTGAAGCCCATGGACAGGTGTTCTGGCACGATTCAGGATCGTCAAGACGCAACAGTTAATTTGATTCGTGGCCTTGAAGTCCCGAGAACGTTTTTTTTGGCGCGGTTGAGTGTCTTCAAACTGTTGTCTCCCAGCGAGGCAGTTCCGTCAGTGGAAATGAGCCCTTGAGGGGCCTATAAAGAGGGAGATCGGCGGGAGGGTTATTCCAACATTGTTGATGAGTTTTGGGTTTGCAATGGTCCTCCTCCTCCTCCTCCTTCCTCTTTTCCTCCTCCTCCTCCTCATCCCCCGCCTCCTCCTCTTCTCCCCTCTTGCTCCTCCTCCTTCTCCTGTTCTTGTTGCTCCTCCTCCTCCTTCTCCTCGAGGATTGAGTGTCGAGGTTTGTCGTCTGCTACGGCCTCCGCGGTTGCCCTCGTGGCTACGGCTGGGTTCTTCTCGGCATTCTGGCCAGAACGCGCCCCGACAGAAGGTCAAATTTTTTGTTTGCTTGTTAATCTAATGTGAGGAGGAGGGTGATAAGGAGTAGAGCAGGAGCAGGAGGAGGAGACTCCTGAAGTTGTGATGGGCCTTTCTACTTCTAATGTGCACTCGTCGGGCGTGACTTCCAAGTCCCAAGAGGCCGCCGGCGTAGACACCGGACCCTTGCGGGGGATGGCTGCCCGAGAAACCGAGCGCCGTTTTGCTATTATGGCAGAGGCGGCGTGGGCGAGCCTGGTCTGTTTCGGCACTTGGCCAAACTGGCATCTAAACATCATGCTTCTCGTTTGTGGCTTCCGGGTACCAGAAGATGCAGCAGTATCCGTCGGTCTCGCGGTGAGGATGTTCCTGTCTAGCAGCTCTCGTCCGTCGAGAATTTACGTTTTCTGCAACTTCATCGGTTTCTGTTGTTATTTGGACAG